GAATCTCGTCTGCTATGCCCATACCCAATTTCAATTTTGCCTTCAAGAGTTTTATGATAAGAGCCCTCTGTAATTTCTCTTTGAAAGTGGGATTGGGAATATTTTCGAGTTCGTCTATCATTTGTTTGTCTGCTTGGTGTCTGAATGTTACGTCTTTATTTCTGTACAGTATGTCGTGTTTGAGTGCTGCTGCGTCAACTCTATTAACGGGTTCTTCCCCTGGTTTGGGAATATCATTTTCGTCTAAACGCAGATCTAACCTAGTGCCTGGACCTGTATAATTGTGACCTGGGAGATGTTTTTCTCCGGGATATTTTGCCCATGGGAATCCAGGAAGAGAACCCAATGACTTTTGAATGTCTCCCGCACCGAAATACGTTTTAGGAGGATGGACATTTATTAAAGACATATTTGTTCAATAAACACCATATATTTTTAATACAAAAGATTTAATACAAGGAGAAAACTATTCAAGCGATAGAAATGAATCACTTTACGAAATGTCACGAGCGATCCTAATAAGAGCGGTCATATAAGAGTAGTTTGAAAAATGAGGTCACGAGCGATCCTTATAAGAGCGGTCATAGTTATCTCCCGTCTTACACTATTGGCAGTCATAATTTAAAGGTCACGAGCGCTCTTATTAGGATCGCTAGATATGCGTCATCCCTTTGTTCTTCACCACTTGTTCTATTTTCGAAAATCTGTATCAACAATTTTGAAACCTTGGATATTTTCACAGAGTTTGGTAAAAAATTCTTGGCCTTTTTCTATCCCCTTACCGATGGTTTAAAAATCTTCGTGATATGAAATGTTGGCATCTAATAAAACTTGTGACTGGAATAAAACAAAAATTGATATTTTGAAAAAAACAGCAAATTAATCTTAATTCCACCCTGTCGTCTTATGATTAAATCAAACAAAAAAAGAACATACCTTGATTTTTGTATGATTAAATTCCTAATCTTCAACAAAAACATGGCTAACAGTTGAGAGTCTAGACTGTCTGTGCTGACGTTGCACGCGTGATATGTTAATTATAGCGTGACTGTTACTAGGCGTTAAAGGTAATTTATTAAATCAATGATAATCTAGACTACTAACTGTGTATAAACAGTGTTACCTCCCATTAATCAGTTGAGGTTTTTATTTCGCATTTCTTTTATATGTTGTAATTCTTTCAACTCGTTAGATCTTTTCACTGCATCGCTTATATCTACTCCTGGGGAAATTTGTTGTTTGAGACAAAATTGGCCACTTTGGGGATGAGAGATGTTAGCGCAGAGAAGAAACCGTCTCCTTCGAATTTTTTTTTTCGTGTTTTAAAATTAAAGACATTTTTAATGCGGTTATTTTTTACTGTATTATTATAGTGATTCTTGTCTGTGGTTTGGGTAATTTATAATACAGTTTGGAGGAGTTTGTTATAATACAGTTTGGGGAGTCTGTTATAGTACATTTTTAAAAGTTTCGGGAGTCTGTTATAATACATTTTAACAGTTGTGTTTTTTCGGATATGACGCATTGAAAAAGCTGCGCATGCGCAGAAGTGAAATGCGTCATATCCGAAAAGACATATACTACTGGTAGAGCACCTAATCTAAATGGGCATATGACATTCTGGGCCTAATTAAAAGCCGTGGTTTCTCACCAAGTTAGCCGCATAATCCATAATCTGAAATTTTAGCGTTGAATTCCAACATAAATCGACGTGATACTTTCAAATTCAACCTTTTTTGAGTTTCGTAGGTGTTGACATGGAAAATACATATACATATAGTCGTGCGGACTGGACAATTACTATCTGAGTAGGTTTGTGTCGCTGTTCTGGCAACATTTCACACATCGCACACACTACATGGCGTTGTCAGTTTTCATCAGGTGTGCATGATCGGACGTATACTCTAATTGGCTGTATTCGTTACCGTACAATACAATCAAATTGCTACATTTACAAATTTCCGTAATATAAGAAGGGTGCCGTCAAGGTATAAGACAGCTTGACATGGTGATGATGATGTGACATTTGGTTGATGAATACAATTTAGTTATGTTTC